ACCACCGGTATTTGTCAGCAGCAACTATACCAATAATTAGGTTTCACGAATAATAGTTCTGGTCAGTGTCCCTAATTAACAACACCACCAGGTATTTGTCAGCAGCAACTATACCAATAATTAGGTTTCACGAATAATAGTTCTGGTCAGTGTTCCTAATTAACAACACCACCAGTATTTGTCAGCATCAGCTATACCAATAATTAGGTTTCCCGAATAATAGTTCTGGTCAGTGTCCCTAATTAACAACACTATTAAAGTCAGCTACCATCTATATAACAATAGAACTGATGTCAGTTACCATCTATATAACACTAGGACTGATGTCAGCTACCATCTATATAACAATAGAACTGATGTCAGCTACCATCTATATAACACTAGAATTGATGTCAGCTACCATCTATATAACAATAGAACTGATGTCAGTTACCATCTATATAACACTAGGACTGATGTCAGCTACCATCTATATAACAATAGAACTGATGTCAGTTACCATCTATATAACACTAGGACTGATGTCAGCTACCATCTATATAACAATAGAACTGATGTCAGCTACCATCTATATAACACTAGGACTGATGTCAGCTACCATCTATATAACAATAGAACTGATGCTTGACACATAACAGTAACAAAAAGATTAATGTTGATGTCCGTCGTTTAACAGATTAGTAATATGAGTGTGAACCTTCTTCATCAGACACTCAGATTAGTAATATGAGTGTGAACCTTCTTCATCAGACACTCAGATTAATAACATGAGTGTGAACCTTCTTTATCAAACACTCAGATTAATAATATGAGTGTGAACCTTCTTTATCAGACACTCAGATTAGTAATATGAGTGTGAACCTTCTTTATCAAACACTCAGATTAGTAATATGAGTGTGAACCTTCTTTATCAAACACTCAGATTAATAATATGAGTGTGAACCTTCTTTATCAGACACTCAGATTAGTAATATGAGTGTGAACCTTCTTTATCAGACACTCAGATTAGTAATATGAGTGTGAACCTTCTTTATCAAACACTCAGATTAGTA